AAAGATTGGAGCTCTGCCAGCAGGAACTCCTGCAGCTGCAGAGGATGTGGGATTTGGACCGCGAAACGCAGCGTTGGACCGTCGCCTCGCTGCGGGAAGAAGTGCGGCATCTCCAAAAGCAGTTGGAGCAACAGCGCCTCTGCGGGTGGTTGCAACGTACACGCGAGAAGGCCATCGTGACGAGGAATTTGTCAACGTCCCCTGAAAGTGGGGTCGGTGCATCTTTTCGGCACGTGCGTCCAACACTGCGGTGGCGGACGGTCTTCTTGCGCAACGAGAATCGGCGCTTGCAGGGCGCGAAAGCCAATTGGAGACAACCCCTTCCCCAACTCCAGGCACAACCCCAGGAACGAAAGGCACGTATCGGTTCCTTGGAAGCGCGGCTTGCAGCTTGGGGTGCCGATGCGCCCGGACAGCGAGGAGTTCCCTCTTCCAGGAGAGGGCCGCCAGATGCACCCGTGCACGGGTCCGAGGATGGCGCAACGACACTGTCCCACCACGAGCGTTTGATAGCCGGGGGCGCGGCTGCACCCACAATTTCCCAACCCATTTTCACGGGAGAGCGACGGCGGGTCAACACTCATACGTCATTGGCCAATTTGGAGCGACCACATTTCCCTCACTCCGAGAATTCGCCCTCCCGATCTCCGGATTCAGAAGAAGTTTCCGTTTCAAATGAAGTGGATCTGGATTTCCTTGAATTTGACGTCACCACTTGGGTCCCGCGAATTTGGAATGGAGGCATCCTTGGAATTCTATTCGAAATCCGGAGCGCATGCGATTACTGGCACCGTGGGGACGCTCACACTCAAATTGCCTTTGACATTTCTGGTTTCGTGGATGCGCGTCGCGGTTACATCGGGAACCCAACAAGCAGTTTATGGACTTGGGCAGGATTATACCGCGGGCCTTCCGGATGCAGATTGTGATTAAATCCGACCCCAGCATCCCGATCCAAAAAGCTGCCTGCCCGCCTTCGCAAGGCTTTTCATGAGGATGACACCTTCGCGAGGCTGGCTCAGCCTTTCATGGATCGACGGGGGACCCGATCGCAACAACAACGATCGTTGCGATGCCAACTGTGCCTTATTTATGGACACGAGGCGTCTACTTGCAAAGTGCGTCCCAAAAGGGGTTTCCCGAACTACAAACAAACGTCAAAAAACGGCAAAGGGGCTGCTCGCCGCTTATGAAGGCGGACGACGGCAGTCACACCCATTTCACCACCCACCACCAATTCCCACAGAAGACTTCGCACCGCACCGCCGATGCTCCATCCGATACTTCGAATTGCCCGACGCAATCGTCGAGAATGGCGATGGAGCTTATCCTCAAACGACGCTCGACTGTAGTACGACGAATGGCCGACAGTTCTGCTTTGAGCCAGTTATATGAGGAAAGCGAAGGAGGTGGCTCGAGAGATGTGGGCGCCGTCAACGTGGGAGCAGAGAATGTCCCTAGCGGGGCAATTCACAACCTTTTGCCGCACGCACGAACAGCCGACGAACGAGGAGAGCTGTGCGGTCTTTTTGGAGGCAATATTAGATGTGGCGCCATCGACCCGACGGCAGCACGCCAGGATGCTGCGGTCCATGTTGCAGATGGATCGAACCCCGCTGGACATGGTGATTCTGGGGCTACAAAAACTTGCGGCGTGATAAGAGGCGAGGCAGGCCCACCCCTTAAGAAAGGAAGAGATGAATCAAGTAATCCGCAGCCGGACCGATTGGAAGGAACGTGTTGTCTCACGACTCGCATGGATAACGGCGAGTCGTTTGTTTGAGATTGCGGCCTTGACAGCCAACAATTTCACACTGGAGCGTGACGGGGCCTTAATTTTGGACTGGTCCGTGGCGCCGAAGACGGCGAGGGCGGATTCCCACCGTGCCTCGCGGTTCGTGAGGATACGAGAGCAGGACGCCTTCGACACTATAAAGCTATGCAGGACACTTCAAGAAAACGAAAGGCTCACGAATCTGACGACTGCCAAAGTCGAACGAGCTTTGGCTCCTTGGGATGCCACGGCGCATTCCATAAAACGCGGTGCGTTGAGGCACGCTGCTCAAATCGTGGAGACATACAATTTGAATCCACACGTGATCTCGCAGTTGGCGAGGCACTTCGACCCGTTCGACCTTCCCCAGAATACTGTTTGATATTTGGGGAGATACACCACAATGCTGACCCAGGTGTCGTCGCTGATCGCATTGATGTGAAGGGAAAACTGCGGAAGGGCAAGAACTCTGGCTGAGAGCGGAGGAGCGTTTTTTCCATGATTTTTACCACAATCATGCCGCTACAATTACAAGACGCGCGACAAGGACGCGTCTGGCCACTCCACAAGATGAACACGCCATCTCGCTACAGCAAGTCAACGTGCCCGTGTTGAACCTGGAGTGGATCAAGAGCCGGTTGAGCCCGGCCACCTTGGAGAGACTCATGCAAGTTTGGGGACTCGTCGGGCGGTCCCCTTTCCCTCCGTCTTCCTCCAGTAAAGCGCGCGAAGGCTCACGGAGGATTCCAACCGCTGACGCGCGATTGTTACGAAAAGCAGGAATAATCGAGGACGCTTCTTCCACAGTAACAGGCGGATGGATAATACCTTTCTCAGTTGTGGAGGAGAAAACCACCGGTTTACGACGACGATGGATCGCGTGGCCACGCGACAAGAACAGCGACGACCCTTACGAGGCTAATGTTCCTCTTTTACATATTTCCCATTATTTGCCGCCTGTGATGGCTGAGGCCGCTTCCTGCCTGGATGTAAAGGCATCCTTTTTTCAAGTTTCTTTACCGCGGGAGACTCGGCATCTCTTTCAATGCCGCACCGCGTCTCAGGCTGATGGAGCTCACCTCGGACAAGAGATGGCCGTACTAGTGGAATCGGAAGGGGGTGGAATTTTTTCGTGACTGCTACGTGAACTGTGAGGTGGATCGAGTGTGGCGTTCGTCAGGAATGATTTAACCGAATTGCTCAGCATTCCCCGTTGGACCTACATTAAGCCTGGGCGACATGTGTTGATTGGGACGCCCGGGAT